ATATATGAGATTCAATGGTCTGATATTAGCAATAAACCCACTGTTTGCATTATTGATGTGGCAATATAGAGGAGGCAGTGGCAACTCATGTAGTCACAACGTCATGGTCATCCGAGTGTCCAGGAGTTTCAGAAACAAGGGCAAAGCAGGTTGTGGGCTGCAAGGCCTTCAAGAGCCCAGGCTAGAAACACTTTGCTACCTGGACAGATTCTAGGTGCAGCCCCAAGTACCTCCACAGTCACCAACAGGAGCTCACGGGTGCAGCCGGGCCCAGGCAGGGCACTGTCCAGCCCAAGGGGACACACCGACAGAGAGATGAGAGCAGCTGTAGCTCTTAATAGGGGGCGCCAACCTACGTGTGGGAAATTCAAGTTTTTATGTTGTGGTTTTCCCATGTGTAAAATGAGCAGCCAGTGTTCACTAGGGCTCTTTAAAGGTGCTTTGTTTATCTTTTTGAGACAAGGTTTTGCTATGCAGTTTCAGCTGGCCTTGAACTCACTTTATAGCCTGGACTGCCCTGGAACTCAAAGCACTCCTCAGTCTCAGCCTCCCAAGTGCTGGGATGACAGGTGTGCGCCACCACACCTGGCCTCCTTTAAGCTTTTAAAACTGTATCTCTTTCAAATATGACAAGGCAGCTTAAATAAGACATCCTGTGTACAAGTTTTAGAAAGAAAAATATTTTTAAAAAATCAACAGAGGGAAAGAGAGTAGACTTTGACTCAAATGAATGTCAAGAGAACAAATAACCAAATTTGATGTCCTCTGGTTTGAGGGTTTGTGACTAACAGCTATGGAAGTGAAAGAAACTTCTAGAATGTCAGGAATGACTCTAAGCCTTTTACGCACACCATTTCTTTTATTTCTTACCTAGAGAGAGGTGATTCTTCTCATCCTACAAAAGGACGAGATCTATAACCCTAAGCTGCTAGGTCAGCCTGTCAGGAAAGGCCTGGTCTCTACCTCCTTTACCCACTTGGGGTTTTTCCAGCAGAGCCTCCTGAAAGCCCAGCTTCCTAGCGTTTGGTTCAGCTCTGCTGAAGTATAATGAAAAATAAAAATCCTAAGTATACAACTAATGTTTCAATATACATATAGACTATAAAATAATCATACGAATGAATCGGTGTTGCCTTTGCCCCAGCCTCCCAGAACTGGGGATTGAACATAGACCCTTGGTCTTGCCAGGGAAGTGCTTATTCTACTGAGCTATCTTCCGGGCTTATAAAATAATCATGATCAAGCTAATTAAAATATTACCTCCCATGCACCCACCACCTTTTACTTCTCCTCTCTCTCTCTCTCTCTCTTGCCTGCCCCCCTCATTCCCTTCTTTCTCTCTCTTTCTTGTGGTGAGATTTAAGATAGCCAAGCTCTGCAAACAACATATATGTCCACTGACA